GGATGCTTATGTCAGGGTCTGGGGGGGAGTATTTGAGGGAGCCTTGAATGGAGGGCAGTATGTCCTCTCCAATGAATCATTCCTCCCCAGTGCCCCACTCTAACCCTACCCAGCCAGAGCAAAGAGGCTACTGTGGTCTGGATAAAGTTTGCTCCCAAGGCTTATGTGCTGGAGGCTTGGTCTTCAGTGTGGTGGAGTTGAGGTACCGGAACCTTTAAGGGGTAGAGCCTGGTGGGAAGAAATTAGGTTACAGAGTCCCACCTTCTCTGGGTTAAGTTCCTGGGGACTGAATCAATTTTGTGTCATTATAACTAAAGCAAGACCACCCCATACCCATGGCCTTTTCTGCATGCAACCTTTTCCCTCTCTCAGAAGCCATGCAGATAGAACCACCCCATATTGGACTTTCAGTGTCTAAGACCGTGCAATAAATAAACCTATTGCCTTTATAAAGTATCCTGAATCAAGTATTTTGTTAAAGGCTTTCCACCACAGAAAAAAAAACTACAAATGCCTCTTCTATGATGGCCACTAGCGGGTATGTGCCTTGCTCCCAAATAAAGAAGAGGAAGTCACTAAGTCTCAGGAGTTAATCAGAAAGATATATTTAGCTTTTCTTTTATGTGTATGGTGAGTGCTTGCATATATTATGTGTAGCACAAGATATGTGTACACATTATGTGTACCCATGGCATACCACAGACCTGAAGAGGATCCTCTAGAACTGGAGTTATAAGTGGTTAGGAACCACCGCATGTGGGAGCTGGTCCTCTGAAAGAGCAGGAAGTGTTCTTAACTGCTGAACCACGTCCCCGGCCCCATTTGTTTATATCTACAAATATCAAGCCCAAGGACATGTAATAAGGCTTCAGCGAAGGCAAATGAGCTCCAAGGTTTACATAGAGGAAAAACATTCAGCAAGCTAAGGACGCACTTCACGAACCATGAGCTGGTCTGTGGAGATAATCTAGACGGCCATCCAGAAGTTTAAGTGGTGAGACGTATCAGTGGGGGGGAAGGGCCCGGTGGGATGGCACAGATGTGAGCTGGCACCATCAGGACCAGTCTGTGACAGCATCCTCTGAAAAACCAAATGCACGGGCAAAAGGGCGGGCCCTGGAGGCAGCAGCACACCTCTTACATCCTTGGACTTGAAAGCAGATGGGAATCCCACAGCTGCCTTACAGGAAGTCCCTCACGTCTGCAGAGCAGGATGCTGGAGTCTTCAGGACCAGCAGAGCCAAGGCATCTGCGGGTGTCTAGTCTGGGCAGGACACCTGGGTCCCGCTGTGAACATCCCTCCTGCTCCATGGCCAAAGGGCACAATGATGGGCCTGCCTGCCAGCCAAGCCAGCGGGGCTTCATGGCAAAGTCTTTCACAAGGGAGTTCCATCCAAAGCTTTCCAGGAAGCTAAAGGGCTGTAGAGGGGTCACCCGGGGATGAGGAAATGATGGCCAGACAAGAGGCCCTTAGTTCTAAAGACAAAAATGATGGCTTTCTAGCTGAAGGAGACCCGGGGGCAGACAGATCTACAGACTAGTCACTGACCATAAAGACGGAGAGCTCTCAGGTTTGGAGACACAAACTTTACGTGACCAGACGGGTCAGAACCAGGAACAGGGTCCAGAACTGATTCCAGCTCCTGGGCTGTAGATCTCCTAACGAGAAGCACCACCCGCCTAAGGCAGGATAGAGATGAGTTTGGGTGACATGAAGGGCTCGAGAGTGTCAGAGGCTAGGGTGGTCAGAGGATGCTGAGCACAGAGAACCTGAACGTGGTGGTGCTGGCTAGTCAACTCGACAAAAGCCAGAGTCATCAGAGAGGAGGAAGCCTCAGTTGGGAAAATGCCTCTGTAAGATCTGGCTCTAAGGCCTTTGCTTAATTAGTGACTGGTGGGGGAGGGCCCAGTCCACTGCGAGTGGGCCAGGCCATCCCTGGGCTGGTGGTCCTGGGTTCTATAAGAAAGCAGGCTGGGCAAGCCCAGTAAGCACCATCCTAATACAATTAAATCACTATCAATCCACAGAATCAGCTTAATGATCAAAGGAATGTATTTGAGGGTTAACTCACAAGACAGAATGAAGGGATTGTAGCAGGACCCTGGAAGGGTGAGGCAAGATCCAAGCTGTTCTCTGGCGAGCTCTGCCCTGGTCCATCTCAGCATCCAAAATCCACAAGGTAGAGAGAGCGCATACGTGCATCCCAGGTCTTAAGGGTCCCTGGCAGCTATGCCCAAGGGGCAGGTACCTAGCAGCTACCTGCTACCTCACTACGGACAGTGCTTCAGGGCATGGCACACACAGCCACCTACTACAGCACCCCTCCATGGCCTCTGCATCAGCTCCTGCCTCCAGGTTCCTGCCCTGCTTGAGTTCCTGCCCTCACCGCTTTTGATGATGAACTGTTATATGGAAAAGTAAGCAAAATAAACCCTTCCCTTCCCAACTTGCTTTTGGCCATAGTGTTTCATCACAGCAATAGTAACCCTAAACTAAGACAGTGGAAGCCACTGGAAAGGAACTGGGGGTGCCGCTGCAGCAGGAAGACGACGCAGGGGCAGGCCAACCCCTTTACTCAAAGATGGAGTAAGAATAGACAGGAGAGAGAGAGGCTTGCAGGTGTAGGGCAAAAAGCACAGGAGTTTGGGGCAGATGGCCTCCGTCTTCTCTGCAGGTGAACAGCTGCTAGACGTAAGTGGTGAGGATATGACTAGAGTTCTGAGGTAGGAACCAGAAAAGGAACCAAGGGGCACCGAGGCATCGGTGAGACGCTCACCCTCCTGGGGCACAGCGTGGAGGCTTGGACTTGGCTGAACCTGTCATCTCCGCTGCAGACAAAAGACACAGGCGCTCATCTCCAGCAGTGCCTGGCAGCCTGGGAAGAATCCCAGAGCAAACAGATGGGCCTGGTTGCCAAGGGGAGGCCAGGGAACACCCACGGGGGCCGGAGGACCAAAGACTGAGTGGGGACCGAAGCCTGGTTCCTCCAGGGCAGGGAAGAAGGCAGGAAAAAGAGGAGACTGGGGGACGGGAGACGGTCAGAAGGATAGGAACAGGGGAAGCCGTGAGATTTGCTGAAAATGAGGTTTAAAGGAGAGGAAAGCAGTATCTAGAATATGGTCAGAGCCAGCAACTGAGTCCTGAGTCCATGCAGGAGAAGAAAAAAAAAAAAGAGAGAGAGAGAGAGGCCTTGATGGATGTGAAGGCCAGCCATGAGGGCAGACCTCAATGTAAGGAAATAGACTGAGCTAGGGAGGCAGAAAGGGAGCAGGTGGGATGCCTCCCTGGAACTTGGCGGTTAAGGGAGTCTCCAGTGGAGAAACAAAGAAGGACTCAGACAGTCAAGGAGGCAACAGCTGTGGCAAGGTAAGGACTCGACTGAGAGCCGACAGAAGTCCCAAGGTACAAAGGGAAGTGGTGGTGGTGTACACAGACACCCAAGAGATGGCCCCTCAGGAGGATGGAGCCAGGAGCACCAACAGCCAGAGTCCATCTCCTCGGGGCTCAGCATCCCCCTGAGAGTCCCCAGCAAACCCATTTACCAGGCACCAGTTCTGAGCAGCTCCAGCTTATAGCTATCCCCAGGAAACATCTGCTAAGTGTCTACCACAAAGAGCTTCAGCTCTCCAGCTCAAACCTGTTCCCAGAAAAACCAGCTTCTATGACACTGTCTCACCTAGCAGCCTAGTCCTCCTGCCCCACACTTCTAGTTTTAGTCCGTGTGTGGTAGGTATGTGTCCATGCACATGTACACCTGTGCATGCAGCACACACGTGCTGGGTAGAAGCTGATGGGTTTATTCCTCGGTCATTCTTCACCTTGTTGTTGGAGAGGGGTTTTATCACTGGGCCTGGAGCTCCCAGATTAACTAGGCTAGATGACTAGCAAGCTCCAGGGTGCACCTCTCTCCACCTCCCCCGGGATGTAGCATTGCTGCTGGGTTATAGACATGCGCTGTCACACTGCTCAACATGGGTGAGGAGATCCAAACTCAGGTCCTCACATTTGCACTGCTGAACTATTTCCCTGGATCCTTAATTAGTCTTAACTCTCCACCACCTGCCATGTTCGTTACATCAACTGTATTCACCAGCTTCGTTGAATGCTTAGAATAGAGCTCGGTGTATAATAGTCCCTTAGCAAACACGTCTAGAGTGCCGAATACATTATCTTTGAAACCCAGAGGTGTATCTTGTTGGGAAGAAGCACTACAAAGTCATTCCTGCTCTTAGAAAGAGAAGTGCAAGGGCTGGACAGAGGATTCAGTGGTCAGGAGCATTAGCTGCTCTTTCAGAGGACCTGAGTTCCAGTCCCAGCACCTACATGGCTGCTCACGACAGTCTGTAACTCCAGTCCCAGGAAATCCAATGCCCACTCTAGCCTTAGGCACTGTATGCACCTGGTACGTAGCCAAAACATCCATACCACATAAAATAAATAGTTTTTAAATAAACAATTAATTTAAAAAGAAAGAGCTGCAGTGAGCTTTGTGGAGGTCATTCACTCTAGCATCAGTCTCCAGAGAGTGAGGTGAGTCTGTTCTGACTTCCCAATACCTCCTCCCAGAGTGAAGGCCTGCTCTGATCATCCCCTCCAGCCCTCCTCCCGTTCAGCTGTGCTGACAGCACCTGCCATCTTCCCTCCCAGGTTCTGCAAGAAGGTGATGGATCCTTGAGACCCACCGCTGAAAAGATATCGAAGTGATTTCTTTTTCCACCGCTACGTTAGCCATGTGCCTATCATGTCCCCCTGTGTTCAGCCGTGTTTCCAGAAGGCATTCTGTGCAGAGCCTCCTGGTCAGTGGCTACCTCAAGGGTGGGAGGAGCTGACGAGCATCCCGCATGCATTTCATTCAGGCACCAGCACTGCCTGCCAAGCTCATCACTGGCACAATATCTCAATTTCACTCTTTTCTCTATCAGTGTGTAGTGAGCGGCTGTGGCACTGCAATTAGCACGAAGAACCAATCGTTCTTGAAATGAATCACAGCGAGACGTACCGTGACCTGGGCGGAGTCGAGGAACTGCAGACCAAAATAATCTGTTTCCACCAGGTCCAAGTGGTATACAATCTGGTCAAACAAATCCTGGCCTTTGGCATGTTTCTGGAAGAGAAACAGGGACGTGGAAATTAAAGGTACAATAGATGGTTAAGAAACAAAAATATTTTTAAAAGTCCTTTTCTCTCCATCAATTGCATACATGCATACAAATTTGTTTTAAGTGAGGTAAGAATGTGTAATTAAAGATACTCTAAAATACCAGGCAATCCTATGAGTTTAAGACCCAGCTGAACACTGTCCACCCTCTCCCTTCTCTCCTTACAAGAAGGAGGCCTTCTGGATGAATGACCTGATGTGATAGCAAGCTTTGCCCAGACCAGGCACCCTGCAAAGAGGTGTGATGGGCTCTGCTCCAGCACAGCCACCCCTAGGCTGGATGTCAAGGCAGGCCACCCTAGCAACTCTGCTAGTTCTTGTCAAATGGCCTGGCCAGCCTTCTGGTTTTACAGGGCAATCCACCAAAGCCCAGGAAAGACAGAAGATCTGCCTAAAGTGCACAGCCATCCAGCTAGGACTCAAACCCAAACCCCGGGTCCACTCCCTCCAGCGCTCTGTGTGGTTCACGGATGGAGCATGAACACAAGAGGAGTCAGAGGCAGCAGCCACACCTGCTACTTCGAAGCAGGCATGACCTTGGAAAGCTGCAACTTGCTTCTCCTTCTGCCTCACAAAACAGGCTGGCGGCAGATGCTTTCCCCGCCTCTTCAGGAAGACAGAGGGGCTCTCCACCGGAAAGCTACTGCAAGAAGACTCAGACCTCCAACTAACTAACAAAGAGGCTTATTAGTACTCATTGGAGCAGAATGCAGGCATGTGTCTCGGATAAAATCTACACCACAGCAAATACATTTAAACTAGGTGTCAAAGAAAACAAACAGCAACTCCATCCAGTGACTGGAGAACTCACTCCTTATTACAAACACTGGCAGTCAACTGGGAAGCGGCTGGCGTCGCCTGACCCTTCCCTGTGGGGAAGAGTAGGTAGTAGTGAACACACAAATTAACTCAAGATGGACCAGGCCTCAGGGGAAGAGGGAGAACTATGAAACTTCTGATGATATGTTGGCACTTTGTGAGCCTGGGTTAGGCGGCGGTTGACGAGATGGCATTAATAGTATGAACCAAGTAACCAGAGAACAATGAACTGTACATTCACGTATGAAGCGTCGGCGCTTCAAAGGCACTGAGATGTCAAAAATGTGCAAAGGCAATCCAGAACATGGGGGAAGTTTGTAAATCACATAGAGTCGTCACTCCAGCCTGTGGAGAAATGTTCCAGCACCACTCAAGAAGACCGAAATGCACAGATGCTCAAATCCCTCACACACATGGCAAATAAGTTATGCATATCCTCTCACGTGATTTAAATCTTCTAGAGGACTCATGATACCTGAGACACCACAGATGTTATGTGAAGAGCTGTTTTTACTTCATTGTGCTGTCTAGGGAATGACCTAATGTATAAAAGTGTCTATACATGTTCAGTACTGATAAAATTTTTTTTCAGTTGTTTTGCTCCAGTCAGTTGATGTAAAGGGCCAACTATGCCTGATAGAGACTTTTATCCGGAATAAATAAAAGAACTATTACAATTCAATAATGAAAAGACAAGTATCCAATTGAGAACCAGCAGAAGGGCGCATACAGTGCTCTGAAGACATGCAAGGGTTCAGTAAGCACCTGGGAAGGTGAGCATCATGAGCAGCCATGGAGCCCAGGAAACCACAGCAATAACCCGACCCACTCCATGCCCACTCAGATGGCCGGGAGGGAAAAGACCTAACTAACAACAAGTGGTGGGTACACTGGACTCCGCACATACTGCTGATGGAGTAACGGACTGCAACCACACTGGAATTCTAACCTCGAGGTCTAGATCCAAGAAAAATAAAAATGCATGCTCATGAAAACATTGTACAGGGATGTTCGCAACTTCATTCATTATACTGAAAAGGCAGAAACAACTGAAATGGCCATCAATTGATGATCAAAATACAGAATATTCATTTGGTGGACTATTACTTCACCATGAAAAGGACTGGAATACTGATGTATGCTACCATAGGGTTGGACTCAGAAAACCCTCCGCTTCAGTCCCAGGAGATCACAAAGCACCAAACTTGTATGACCTTATCCTAAGAAATGTCAGAGTGGACAAACCACAGAGACAGAAACTAGGACAGGGATTGCTTAGGACTGAGGGAGCTGAGAGTCGACAGCTAGGCTGGTATTTTACCAATGAAATGTCCTACAACTGACTGTGTTGACAGATGCAGAATTCTGCATATATTAAAAGCCTCTGGACTGAACAATTAGAAGGTGATGTACAGCATGTGAACCCCAGCAAAGCTATTACACATACTAAATGTATGTTTTCTTTATTAAAGAATACCAACATGTAAAATAATTAAGAATGGGAAAGTTGCAACATCAACATCTCACAGCCTGAATAACAGCAGAATGGCAACTCCCATCCCATCAGGTAACCAGTCACTGTGGCCCTGTGACAGAACATCCCACCTCCTGAGTCAACAAATTGCTTCACAGTCTCTCCACAAGATCCAGCCTAGAAGGGGGGGAAAAAAACTCTAGAAACCCCATAACGCACACTATCCCATCTCTAGTATAGGAAGAAGAGACAAGGTGTGGAGAGGCAGCCTGAGGTTCAAAGATCTAAAAGACAGTCTCCCAAAAGGCAAGGTCAAACCACAATGCCTACGACAGACACATGGACACACACTGTCTAGGATACACACTTGGCTGAGGAAACTTGCAGTGAATCAGGAAGTGACCACAATAAAGTCAGGGTAGCTGTTGCTCGTGAAGGGAAGGGCACGCAAGGGTCGGGGGTGGGGGGTCGGGAGGACATGTCTGACCAGCAAGCATCTCAGGAGACAGGGTGTTTGGGGTCTGATAACTCATCAAACTATACCCCAGTTTTATCTGCACATCTCCATCTACAGGGCATGTCCAAAGTAAAAACTCAGGGGCGGGGATGAAGTTTCATTGTCAGGGGAAAGAACACTAGCACACGGTCCTGGGTTCCAATCCTCAGCATCTACCGCAAGACTACAGACTGCACACTCCTTGCTGGATCAGCTCCTCTGAGGGCGACAACAGAAGCCGAAGACTCGATGTACATTGAAGGGCTCTACAGCCTATCCCACCAGAGAGAACAAGCCAGCTAACGCCCCCAGCACAAGGACAAAGAACGGTGGCATGCCACCACTCCAGGCACGGCCCTACCAGTAGAGAGGACGATTACAAAGAGAGAGATCAGTGGGAAGAAGTAAACGGGCTTTGATTCCAACTACAGAAAAGCATATGCGCCGTAGACTGGCAAGATGGCTCAGTGGGTCAAGGCACTTGCCACACACAAGTCTGACAACCTGCGTTAGAGCTCTGGAACCCAAGTGAAAGTGGAAGGAGAGACTTGTCTCCACAGAACTGCCCTCTGGCTTCCACACGTGCAGCAGGCACATACAATCATAAACAACATGTTAAAACATATGCACTGTATCACTATGAACTGCTTTATAAAAACTGGGTATATGAAACAAAACCAGACATATTCCAATGGAAAACTGGGGATATTTTCACTTTGAACTTCTCTTGAAAACAGACCTTTGGACAATCGTCAGACAGCAAATATGATTGGGGGGGGGAGCCCCAACTCTGGCACTCTGCCTTCTTGCCTATAACAACCAATCCTCGGGCTATGTTCCCTGTTGCTCTCCAGTGCAGCCAGCCCCAAGCAACACCTGCTATTGTGGAGCCGCTGCTTCATTAAGGAGTGTCCTAGTGGGACAGGACTAGTTAAGAAAGGCTTTAGCAGCAGGACGTGGCAGAAGACCTAGGCTGGGAGGAAGCAAGAGACTGTGCTTGGGGCCCAGATGGACTACCCACAGCGACATGAAGCAGTTCATAGTCCGCCCCCCCCCAAGTCCCTACCCCCAACCCAAACTTGCCTGGCATGTATCTGCATGGCCACAGAACTAAAGCAGCCCCCAAATCCAGTCTGCACCCCGACCTGTGCCTCTCTACTTGGGATCAAGACTTACCCTCCAATATATGATTTCCTCAGTCACAGATTATGAACTGATGTGCACAGTGAAGAGGGTCAGTGCACACCGCCACTCTACTTCGTTCCGAACACTATTCCTCCTTGAGCCTCTGGGTAGAGGCAGGGAAGGAACCTTTCCACAGGAAAGCGGTCCTTTATCATACCAGACCCTCCCTTGGTGGACTCATGGCTGCCTCCTGTGTACCTGCAAACAATCAACTGTGCTCCTTACTACATCTTCTTCTGGAATAATGAACTCCCAGCAGCCCTTGCCAGCTTCACAGAGAGAGGTAAAATGAAGGCGAGGTTGGAGGGGTCCTCACAGCAGATGCTCAGAGGGTCACTAGAAGGACCAAGATGGGAGGGTTGAGGCCACTGTACCAGAGCCCACTACCTCTCAGCCCTCCTACCCTGCAAATTCAGCCCTCAAACCTCAAAGAGGCTCCAGATAACTCAGTTTCTCTGTACTGTCAAACATCTCATCACACGGAGCAAGGTATACGCTCCTTCCTCTCAACCCCACAGGTAGGTGCATGCCTGTAACAACACAGGATCACCTTCGGGGTGCAGCTGTCTATGCTCCCCCCCCCCATCGCACTCTTCCTTCCAAGTGAGCACTCCCTGAGGACAGGGTCTAGTCATGCTCACCTGAGTAACCACATCCCTATCCCTCCAAAGCATAGAGCCTAGCTGTCACACATCATAACCTACACAGGTGACGCATGGGTGGATAACCAGGGAGGTGTATGGTGGGGTCTGGGATCAAGAAGGAAATGCAGCGGATGGGCTGTGCTACAGCACCAGCCACAGACCAATGGGGCATCACAAGCGGCACGTCTAAACATGAGAATATACTCACTGCAATATTTTCAAATTCTGCACTCCGCCAACCAGCACCTAGGGAACCAACTGCACTTGCAAGGCCATTTACCTAAACACAATTTTGTTGCAATTATGTGAAGTGCTGCTGTCTAATGGT